CCCCCATCCCCTCAGCGAGGCCGGGCCGCGGTGCGGTGGTCGGCCGGCCCCGTGGCGGCGCGGCGGATGGATACTGAGCGCCAGCATCTTGCTGGGGTAATCGAAGGCGACGACCTCGCCCTGCAGGCGCTGCTCCTGGCAGGTGCGGCACGACACCTGGCTGCCCACGCTGAAGCACTCGCCCGGCGCCGCCATTTTCTCTCAGCCCGCAGCGGCCGCCGCGGCTCGGCTCGGCCAAGGGGGGGGCGGGGCGCCGCTCGACGTCACCGCGCTGCGTGATGACGTCGACGCGTTTGCGTGATGACGTTGCGCGCGCCCCCCTCCCCCCGCGTGCCGACGTCGCCTCGCCGCGCCGCGCCGCGCGCCGCCGCGGGGCGGGGTGACCTTGGAACAGCCAAGGTTTTTTGACCCTCGCGCCGCCCCGTAGCGGTCGTCCCGCCCGCGCCGCAGGGGCTGCTGGGAAGTGTAGGAGGAAGAGGCGGTTAGCGGCCTGCCCGCCTGGAGGGCCGCAGGGACCCCGGCCCCCGGGTGAGGCCCCAAACCCCGCTGCGAGCTCCTCGGCCGGCCCCGCGCCCCGCCCGCTGCCCTCCCCAAGCCGTAACGACCCGCTGCGGGGTTCCCTGAGCGGCGAGAGGGCTGGCGGGTCGCTCTGGGGGTCCCTCGGGGCTGCCCCGATCGCTGCGGTGTCCGCAGGGCTGCGCGGCCCGGCCTTGTGTCCGCGCCGAGCCTCTCCCGGCCGGTGCCTTTGTGCCCGCCATCCCGGTGTCCGTTTTCTGTCTCCACCTCCATCCCATCCCCACCATCCCCGTTATCCCCATCCCCGCCTCCATCCCCATTCCCACCTCCATCCCTATTTCCCATCCCATCCCCATCTCCATCTCTCCCTCCATCCTTCCCCCATCCCATCCCCGTTATCCTCATCCCTATATCCATCCCACTCCCCATCCTATCCCCACCATCCCCATCTCATTCTCCCCAACCCCCTCCCATTCTCTCCATCCCCATCCATCTTCTTCCTCTCCCCATCCCCCCCTCTATCCCCATTTCCCATCCCCTCCCCATCTCCACCCCTCCCTCCATCCCTCCCCCATCCCATCCCCATTATCCTCATCCCCATATCCATCCCACTCCCCATCCTATTCCCACCATCCCCATCCCATTCTCCCCATCCATCTTCTTCCTCTCTCCATCCCCACCATCCCCATCTCCATCCCATCCCCCTTCCTGTCTCCATCCCATTCCCCATCTCATCCCTATCTCCACCCCACCCCCATCCCTCCATCCCATTCCCTTCCTCTCCCCATCCTCCCCCCACCTAGGACCCCTCCCTGACTCTCTCCCTCCCCACAGCCCACACCATGGAGGCCCTACACACCACTGGGATCCACATCGCCGAGTTGCTGCAGGCCGGGCCTCCGTGGCTGGAAAACTTTTGGCTCACCATCACCTCCATGGCTGACCCCAAATGCATCTTCACCGTGTGCTTCCCGCTCGCCTATTTCCTCGACCGCAAGGTGGGGGTGGCAGTGCTGTGGGTCGGGCTGGTGGCTGAGTGGCTCAACGTGGTCTTCAAATGGTGAGGGCACAGCCTGTGCCGCTGGGTTCTGCAGGGCTGGGGGATGCCACGGCCCCATAGCCACCTTCCTGCTGCTGCCCGCAGCCCCCAAACCCACCGGGGCTTTGTGGGGCGCTGAGGCTTTGGGCTGCATCCATTCACTGCTCTGCTCTGTCCCTCCCTCTCAGGTTTTTATTTGGGGAACGCCCGTTCTGGTGGATCCATGAGTCGGGCTTTGCCAGCCAGCAGCCACTCACACTGCGTCAGTTCCCCGTCAGCTGTGAAACGGGACCAGGTGAGCTGTGTGTGTCCCTGCAGAACACCATGGGATTCCATCCTGCTGACTCCAGGGGCAAAGCGGGGAGAGTGTGGAACTGAAAGCACACAAGGAAGTATATAACACCGGGCTGTTGGCTTCAGAGGGGCACCCAGGGGCTCCTTGGTGTCAGTGCTTAGCATTAGCAGGATGCTGAGAGCCCTTCCTGCCAAGCTGGCACTGGGGAAAGCATTTCCTGCATCAGTTCCCCGTCTGTACAACAAAGATTTGTTTACTCTTTTGCTCTGTGAGGAAATATTCTGGCTCCTGCCTTCCTCCCTGGCAGCGTAGAGGTGGGCAGGGCAGCCTGGGGATCCCAGTTCTGGCAGGATGGGGCATTCAGGAGTTGGCAGCACAGCTTAGAAGTGACCAGCAGGGAACAGGATGGGCTGGCACAGCTCTGGGGCCAGGATACCCACTGGGCAGTCTGCACTGGGCTTCTTTTCTAAAGGCCCTCAGAGCTCTGTGCCTTTTGGTTTTGGGGGCTTGCAGGGCTCCTTGCCCCCCTCTTTGAGCATCTCGTGCTTTGCAGGCAGCCCCTCCGGCCACTGCATGATCACTGGGGCAGCACTGTGGCCACTGGTGACTGCACTGACAACATTGGCATCCCGACACTCCAAGAGGTGAGAGCTGGGGCACTCCTGGAAACCTCAGAAGGCATTTTGTGGGGGAGGGAGATGCACTGCAGGGCTCTTTCTGCTGGGCTGGATGGGGAACGCAGCTCTGGCTGCTGTGGGATCCACTCACCCTGCTCACCTCTTCCAGCCTGGTGCTGAAGCTGATCCCCTTCAGTGCCTACATGCTGCTGCTGCTGGCCGTGGGGCTCTCACGGATCTTCATCCTCGCTCACTTTCCCCACCAGGTGCTGGGTGGCATTGTGGCAGGTGAGCAGGGCAAGGGTCACCCCTTCCCATCCCCTCGAGCCCTGCACATCCATCCCCACATCCCCCAACCTGACTGTGTTCACCCCACAGGGGCTGCCCTGGGCTGGGGGCTGCAGGCTCACACTCCAGCCACGCGCTCTCTGGGTTTCTTTGCTGCCACATCCCTGGGGCTGCTGCTGAGCTCGGTCGCCCTGCACAGACTCATGGTTGCTGCTGGCGTTGACATCGACTGGTGAGCAGCTGTGGGGAGTGGGGGGGGCTCAGAGCCCCAGGGGGGAAGGGATTCATCCCTGAGAACTGACTCTTCAAAACAGAGAGGGGCTCAACCCCCAGGAGGGTAAGGGGGCAAGGAGAGGGAGGGCACATGGATCTGCCCCTGGTCGAACTGGGGGTCGAACCCCAAAGATTTTGCCCTCGAATTCGAAAGGGACCGGCCTTAAAATGCACTTCCCGAGGCTACGGCGGGCTGAGATCAGCCCCCAAAGCAGCACCCAACCCCTTCCCCCGCCTTCTGGGAGGGGTCTCAGCCTCACCCCACCTCTCTCTCCATTCAGGTCCATCCGTTTGGCCACCGCCTGGTGCAAGGACCCGTCCTGGCTGCGCATCGACACGCGGCCCTTCGCCTCCATCTGCCGCGTGGCGGGCAGCGCGCTGGGGCTGGGCTTGGCTGCCGGAGACCCCCAACGCTGGGATAAACCTTTGCCCCCCCGGCAGCGAGCAGCCTGCGCCGTATTGGCGTTGGCAGCCGTGCGGGGGCTGCAGCACATTCCCCAGCCCCAGCAGGTGACACTGTGGTACGCCTCCAGCTTCCTCAAATACGCTGCAGGGCCCGGGCTGGTGGCTGTGCTGCTGCCCCGTATCGCCCGCACCATCACCCGCCCCAAGGCCCCCCCCCATGCTGAATAGATGGGTGGGGGATCCCCAGCTTTGGCACGGTGAGTCCTGCGTGCCCCCCCCCCCCCCCCCCCCCAGCATCCCATCTCAGAACGCCGTGCCAATCCTCTCCAAATAGGGGCAACCCTCATCCCCCCATGGTCATCCTGGGGAGGGGGCAACCCGCACCCTCCCCATTTCTTCCTGGGAGGGGGCACTGCTCATCCCCTCATCCCTTTCTGCCCCCAATAAAGGCACTGTTGCACTCCACCGCCGCCCCAAAGTTCCTTTTAAAAGCAGGGGGGGTGGGGTGGGCACAAGGATGCGGACCCCCCCCCCCCCCCCCCCCCCCCCTTCCTCAGGCTGTGCCCCCCACTCCCATGGCTATTGCCAGAAACAGTTTTATTTATACAAGGACGAACATTGGTGACATATTACAAAATACTCAAACCCATATCGAGAGCCAGCGGGCGGCGGACGGACAGAAAGAAACGGTGGGGGGGGGGGGGGGGGG